CCAGCATATCGAGAATGGCAGCGAGGAGCGACAATCGCACGTATAAAATCCTCCCAAGCCCCGATAAAAAGCCACCAATGGTAGACAGCGTTTCGATGTCTTTCCTCACTTTCCTTCGTCCCCAGGCCATCCGAAGGTCATCCGAAGGTCATCCGAAGGTCATCCGAAGAGAACCCTCCCGACATTCCCAAAGCGATAACTTCCAGCGCATCCCCATCAGACTCAAAACAGCTAAGGGCGAAATGCAATAGAGCAGGGGGAGGGGGGGATGTGCCCACATCCAATTTTCCACATTAGGGCGGCAGGTGAGTCTAATCAGATGAATAACGGTGAAACCATCGCAACACATGTCGAGTCGAGCCTGCATGTTGTGGAATTATTATTTTCCTTCATACGTTGAACCCATCGACCGGGATTCAAGCAGGGTCGGACTCTCGATCGGCGACACGAATGCCTCCGACTCCCATGTCGACTTCCCGACCCCCCGAGGCGATATGCCATATGGCTCCTATCTATATCTCTCTAATCCAGATTCTCCCATCCATCGTGGCGACTTTGCATAATGGGATACTCGCCCCCGGGGGCGAGGGATTCGCTCGACCGTGGTCTCCTTTAAAGCGAAACCGAGCGGAGACATCTCGATCGTATCTACCATTCCTTTTAAAATATATTCATCTCGTTCTACTCGTGACGTATTTCTGAAGAGTTAATATATTCTTGTTCGGGTACAATAACCTCTCAGAGTGGCGAATATCGATGAAGGAAAACCACCTGTGTCCCAACGGCAGACGGCAGCCAGTTTCGAGCATCAAATTCCGTTTTCTTAATTAGAAATTCCTCTTACCACGAGTGCTTAGCATTTTTACTGCGTGAAATAGCGAACACGGCGAGAGGGAGCAGACTGCTCAGCGTTTTCTAAGGGAATTCATTGCCCATTCTTCGCTTTGGATGGAAATAGTCAAAACTCGGCAGAAATCTTCTCCATGCAACCGAAATGCGACGCAGAAAAACTTGAGGCTCACATACCATACCGGACAGTTAAATATATAAATTGGCACTTTTTTTTAAACATTGTAATCCGCGTCGACTAATGCGAAATGAAATCTTCAAATCCCATCCCATACAAGATTTTCTCATGACGATGCGATGAACCAGACACGACAGGGAAATGTTCGCACGATCCCGATAGTTTTCTTTCCCTTCCGCCTTTAATTCCACGGACGATCGATTTATCGACCTTCAAAGCGAGAATCACGAAGAGAGCGCAAGGAATGCTAAAAGTGTTCTCGTCAGAATTCCCGAACGCAAAATGCCATTCGTAAGACTCGCTTAATAAATTGGATTTTTCGGTAGCCAAATTAAATCATGGCGTACTTTTCCGATTCCTCCTGTTCGTTCAGCCGGAAAAAAAAAATTCATTTTTTATTTATTTAGCCGGCATGACGTTGTTGAGAGAAAATACGCTGCTTTAAGCTTCTCCGGAGACATCATGCGGATCCTCGCAGGCATCCTCCGTTATAAAATATGAAAGAGGCATCCACACGAAAGTGGCATCCATATGAAAGAGGCATCCTCATAACGTGCTGAACGCGGCGAGAAGGGACGCAATCGGTTCTTTGCTCTATTTCATTTCGACATTCGTGATGGTCAAAGGATGATATCCCGTAAGTTCGTGCCCCGTGTCTATTGCACATGCAGGTTATTTGCACATGCAACAATTGCTATTATATTATTACTCTTTATTTCCCGATGTGAGGGTCCCCCTCTCCGAAGGGAAAATAAGAAAATATTTTTCAGAAATATTATCGTCGGAATAATATTTTCTAGGAAACATTATACCATGAATAATAATATATCCCGTTGCATTTTCATACCAGCGAACGGAACGATAAAATACCGAATCATACCCGGCCCAAAAACTAAAAGACGAAATCCTCGAGATTCTTTCCTCTCGTTGGACTTGAGATTTAGTTCACTGTTAGAGTTGGTCGCTTTCGACCCTGGAATTCTTCAGTTTCGGTTCTATTCTCTGCGAGAAGCAAATATGTCCGGGCAGGAAGTCTGTTACAATTGAGGTTCTTTTTTTTTTTTTAAACTTGGCATTTAATAGGTTTCATGAAGGAGGCGAAAGTCCGTATGTCCCAACGAAAACCCGAAACGATACGAATACAAGCGACGAAGGCCTTTCCTATCTCGTGAATCCGGATTCGTCTCGATTCAAGAACGGCCGGAGTTAAAGTTCGATTTCGTCCGAGGACGCAGCGGCGTTTTTGTGGATCTGTTAAGAGATTCTGGAGTTTCCCGGGAATATTTTTTTTATTTTTCGCTGAGATTCATGGACTCGCGCGTCCTTCCGACTTGGGTGGAAGAACTTCTCTCAGTCCGCCTTTCGACAGTCCTGTTTCATGCCAAAAAAAAAATGCAAAGAAAAAAGGGGATCGAGAGTCTCACATAAGAAAGAAACGCAGCCTTTCCACGTTGCTTCCAACAGATGGAAACCGGCTATGCAACTTCTGGATGACGTGGGCCGAGACAAGGGCATTCCCCTTTTAAACGGAATTTCTTTCCGGCTTCTTACGTGGATTTGTCCGTTGCCGTTTCCGTTCGAAACGCAAAACCCCGTGCATTAAAATCGTGGACGACTTCTTCTGAGACGAAGCAAAGTTGCCCTCCGAGGGAAAACGAACTGGATCTCGTTGAATGCAAGATCAGAGGGGTGAGAAACCTAATTAACAGCTGGAAGGAGTATTTAAAAAAAAAGGCAAGTAAAAAAGAAAAAGTTGGATATAGTAATTGCGCATTTTCCCCGGAAGGAACACCTCGAGAAGCACTTCCTTGACCCCACACAAATAAGCAACTCATTAATCTCGTCCTCCGTCGAGAGGGAAAAGAGAGTTCGTCGCACGGGAGTCATCTGGTAAGCACGAGAAAAAAGGCATTTAATAACGGCATTCTCGTTTCCCTCCCTCGAGGCCGGACGGCCAGGGACCCCCGACCGGACATCCATTCTTTCCTCCTCTCCCTTCGCATCCTCCATTCTCCTTCGCATCCCCCCTCCCGTCCCTTCGTATCTCGTCCATTCCCGTTGTGAGTGACATATCATTGCGTCGTGCATTCATTGCGGGGGTCGCTTCCCTGCGAGGAAGACCAAGGAGGTGCAGTCCGTCCGGTATCGATCGTGGTGGTGTACTTGGGGACATCCCGGCCTAGATCCGCGAAGTCTTCCGTGTATAAACCGACATACAGTATGTTATCGATTATCGCGCGAACGGAAAATGCGTGGTGCAGTCGAAGAGTAACGTCGCGGGTTTTTTGTTCCTGGATGTGAACTTGATGAAGGTAATGTTTGACTTTGAATTAATGAGACTAAGGAAGATTTCGGAAAGTAAAAGGTGACGACTTCATGGACCTCCCCCCCCCCCCCCGCCCCCAAACTTGAAAATGAAATTTTAANGCCCCCCCCCCCCCCCCCCGCCCCCAAACTTGAAAATGAAATTTTAAAGTCATGAGAGCTGTAATTGCAGTAATTCTTAAGTACGTAATTAATACTTTTTGGATGTTAGAGTACATATGTTTGAGCATTGTCACGTAGAAGTACTTAGTACTTACTAGGGTTCCCAATTTCCGGTTAATAAATTAACCGATATCCGACGCGAACGGCTATCAGTCACGGTTAACTGAAGTTCAGGGAGAGCTTCAACGAAGACGACAACTTTCCATGGGGAGAAATGAGAAGGAACCCAAAGTCGTCCTTTCCCCTGATTAGTTTTCCCACTCGTTTCGAAGCGTGAGAAAAGGACCTTCCCCACTCCAGACGAGTCCTTGAGGACCCAGATGAGAGTCAGACAGGAAGTAACTAAATGTCACGAGAATGCAACATTGAGAGACCGAAAAAAAAGAGCAGGGTGATTGAGTCCCATTCCCCCCACAATTTCTCTTTTCCCTCTCTGCACCGGAAAGAAATGGAGGGCGGGAGGAAAAACGCAAGGACAGAAAGAAAAAATGCGCACACTCTTCTTTTCCTCTGTCGTGGCCCGAATAACTTTCCAACCCTGGGAATTTTTTTATTATATCGGAGAGGGGAAAGATGGATGCATCATACCGGTTAATCGAAACAGAAATTTATAAACCGGTTAGATGAGATCCGTTGGTTGACCGGAGTCACGGCTTAACCCTCGAGACCCCTAGCATTTTCGAGCAGTTAGCGTCAAGCATAGTACCATTTGAAAGCGGGGTAGGAAAACCCCGACAGATGTATCAGAATTTTTGTATCATCGCGAGAACTTCTCAGGGCTTACTGAGGCTCGGATTATTTAAGTACAGAAGGATACGCTGGCATACCGACGGAATCTTCGAGCTTGACCAGTTCTTCGTAATTATAATCCGGTAAGAAATGTATAATATACTGTAGTAAGTATGGCATTCGACAAAAACTCTGAGAGTACTGCCCTCGTCTGCCCTACTACGCAGTTTGAGAAATAAATGTAAAAAAAAAAGGCGGTCTCTGAAGGAAGACCCCCGGGAAACAGACGCAGGATTTTTTCATTCCTGGATTGGTGTCCTCATTGAGCCCTCTTTTCAAATAGTGAATGAGTGCTTGCCTCAGTAACAGAGATAACAGACATCAATGAAGTTCATTTTACATGGTTAATCATTTTCTGATCGAGTTGGCGACGAAATGGGCTACGAGGAGCAAGAGGCTCTACACCTTTCAAGCATCTCCGCCCTGTAATCCAAGATAAAGCTTCCCTTCCCTCCCCCCCGCCCCCCACCCCTCATAGCCATTTCGTGGAATCGGTTTTTCTCAAATACTCGCTTGATAACATTTGCAAGTTGCATTTTACAACTTTTAATTTTTCCATTAAAGCGAAAGTTGAGGGTGGAATAGATGTGCTACACCACAGGCAAGCTCTCGCTTCGCCGCATGAGTACAGTTCACCTTACGGAGATACATTATCTGCACAAACGGCGTCCCTTTGTTTCAGATTTCAACAGAGGAGATGCGGCTGTCGTTGCTCCTCTCCTTGTTGGCGATCCCGGCGGCCCTCGGGGTCGAGCCGACGGTGTTCGTCGTGATTCTGGTCCGAAACAAGGCTCACGTCTTGCCTTACTTCCTCACTCTCCTGGACCGGCTGGACTACCCAAAGGACCGGATGAGCCTGTGGATCCGCAGCGACCACAACACCGACGACTCCGTGTCTATCCTGACCAAGTGGCTGGACGCGAAGAGATCCGACTACCGCAGCGTGGATTTCCGGCACCGAGACTCCGGACGCTGGCAGGACGAGTACCAGCCGTGGAAGTGGTCGAAAGAGCGGAAACAGGTCGTCCTGGCCCTCAAGGAAGCGGGTCTGATGAAGGCAAGGTCGTCGCGAGCCGACTTTGTCCTCTTTTTGGACGCAGACGTTCTTCTCGTCCGCCCAGGGGTCTTGAAGGCCTTGATCTCCGAGAAGAAGACCGTGGTCGCTCCTCTACTCAAGTCCCTGGACGATCATGCCAACTTCTGGGTGGCCATGGCCGATGACTTCACGGAGAAGCCATCCGAGGAGACCGAGAAGATCCGGGACCAGGAGACGACCGGGGTGTTCCAGGTGGACGTCGTCAGGAACTTCGTTCTCGTCAATCTACGTCGTCGCAGTTCCGAAGAACTGACGTTCGACCCCGAGGGGATCTCGGAATACGATGGACCCTACGACGGCGACATCGCCTTCGCCGTCTCGGCCGCCAGGAATCAGGTGCAGCTGTTTTTAGCCAACACGGAAAGATTCGGGTTCGTTCCCCCTCCTTTGTCCGAGGGCGAATACCTGGCAGAAGACAAGGAACGGGTTCAGTCGTTGGTGCTGGAGTCGACGGAAGTGCTGTGGGAAATCCCCCTGGACGAAATGTTTGCCGATGACGTGGAAAAGCCTCGCCTGAATCACATGGGCATCCAAGCCGTCTACGTCATCAACCTGAAGCGAAGGCCGGAACGTCGTCGTCGAATGGAAGCGGTGTTGAAATCCCTGGGATTCCGAGCCACCTTCGTGGACGCCGTGGACGGGAAGACCCTCGACGAGTCTCGATTGAAAGAAATGGGCGTGAAACTGATGCCCGAGTTCCGGGATCCCAGCCAGAATAGACCCATGACCTACGGCGAGATCGGCTGCGTCCTCAGCCACCACCACGCCTGGCAAGAGATCGTGAATTCGAAGCGGAAACTCGCCATGATCCTCGAAGACGACGCCCACTTCGAACCCTTCTTCAGACAGCGTCTCTCGGACGCCCTCGAAGACTTCAGTCGCCTCAGACTACCCTGGGACTTCCTCTACCTGGGCCGAAAGTTCCTCGACCGCTACGACTTGGAGGAAGACGTCGAAGGCAGCGAAAACTTGCGCACGGCCGAATATTCCTATTGGTTGGTCGGCTACCTGCTCACCTACGAGGGGGCCAAGAAGCTCGTCGACGCGGGATTGTTGAATAATCTCATCCCCTCCGACGAATTCGTGCCCGTCATGTTCGACAAGCACCCAAACGAGACGTACAGCAGGCATTTCCCGCGAAGGGATCTGAGGGCGTATTCCGTGACGCCCAGGCTGGTGTGGCCGACGTTCTACCCCGGGGATGGGCAGTACGTGACCGACACGGAGGACTCGGAACAGGTGCCGGATTCCGTATTCGAGGCTGGATCGTCCAAGCCTTCCAAGCAGGTCTACTTGGACCTGTACGAGGACGAAGAGGACGACGAAACGGCATCGTCCGACGACTCACGCGACGCCGACGAAGGTGACATTCCCGACGGTGACACCGACGCCCCCCAGAACGACGAGGCATTCGAGGAGCGGAGAAACGCATTGCTCCCCTACAAACAGAGCCTGCTGAAATCCTCATACCGGGACTTGGAGAAGGAACTCGCATCGAGCCTGAAAGAAAGCGCGGAGGAGGCCCTGAGGCATCTCCGTTCCTCGCAGTTTCATTCCGGCTTTCGCCTCAAAGAAGAACTGTGAACGCGGCCTCTCACTTTTATCATTCTCGAACTGTTGGGCTTTACGGATCGTGAAACCGCGAGGAAGGTAATCCCGGTGATCGATTTTTGGTTCTCTGTGCACATCGGTGAATCTCGAATAAAATCATGGATCTCAGCTGTGGGCTACCCAAAGGGCAACCGGTCGCCCTCGTTTCGACCGCACTCAAGCCTTACATTTAAATAGCAGGGCCTAGACCTAGGCTTGCCTTTTTCGTTTAAAAGAAACTCAATTCTTGACTTACGGGGTCAATTAGGCCTATAGGGTTGACACCGCGACAGAATTCCAGTCACAATTCCAGACATCTCGCTGAGGACGCGTAACGTCAGGCCGATCGCAGGCCTACACAGACTTTCGCGAACCGTTTCAGCGAGGACGTGGAACTTTAGGCCTATCTGGAGTTCCTCGAACCATCTCGACCTGGCCCGCGGGGAGAATGCCTCCGAAATCCAAAACGCGTCTTGGACGCCATCTTGTTAACTCAGGGATGTCCGTGCGAGATGTCTCCATTCCCCACCGCATCGATCGGCCACAGCTAACCACCTCAGCCCATCTCACAGCACAAAAATATGAAATACGGTAGAAAACAGAAAATCCTGACACCGACACGAAGGCCGAACCAGTAATGAATCCGACTGAGCCCCGGCACGACATCTGGCACGACATCCGGCAACACTGCGGGACGGGACCGGAGCCCGCACGCTAAGCCCAAATGAACGACAGCTAATTTCATTTTTTATGGCGAAATGGCGCATCGGCAAACAAAAGGGCACATTTCGTGATATCGAGTCAAAATCTTCCCTTGCCATATGTTGTTGACGCTCTCAGCGAGGAATAAGAGAAGAATGAACACCCGATACCCAAATGCTTTTTTTTATATTTATTTAAGAAAGTAAGATAATTAATCAAATAAGTAAGCGATCAGACATTCTCCTTCTTCTTCGCTCGCGAATGACGCGAGAACATGCTGGGAAAAAAAAGCAAGGATGTTTCTCTTTTTTTTTTTCAAAAGAATTCTTCTGCTCGTGAACTCAGTCTGGTTTGGGTTTGTTAAAGAAAAAAATTATCTTTTGATAACGTGTTCTACGTCGACTGCTGAGCAATTTCCGCCCTGAAGTATAGTCGTTTTCGAATCGGCCTGTTTGCAGAAACTCCAAGGTGAAAGAAGACTTTAGCTGGAAAATGGAATGACTAAGGCGTAAATAATTTTTTTTAAGGCCGAGAAATTTCGGACTCGGCGCATCGGTACGGCTCCATGTAAATTCCATTTGACGGTTTCTGTATTGAGAGGAAACAGTATGCAAAAATCGGCACCTCTCAATAGGATTCAGTGTTAAATGCCCCCTAGTCTAGCAGTGCCACCTAGTGCTGACTCAAGGTAACTGTGCAAGAATACAAAACCAAAACGATTGAAGGGCCGGAAAGGGAGTCTCCTCCCTGGATCATCAGCCTTTTCCTTCCTTGGCATGTTGTGAAAGAATTTCTTCAGAAATGACGAGTTCATGTGAATGTACGAATGCCAATTTTCTCTGCCGCACGAATCGGCAGCGAAGACACTCCTACTCGTGTCGAGCAAAACTCGTCCAAGAATTTTTCTGCGATATCGTGCCAAAGACACGTCTGGAGCAACAGCTCGGTGGCTCTCGTTGGTCTCATCGAAACGCATGGCTTTGAAATTGATCAACTTTTTTTC